TAGTTTCTGTGCATCGTCATTACTCGAAACGTCAACAGTTAAGTAAATGACGTTTACCTGCGCTGTTGTCCTTGTGATGGTATCAATTTACCCTCAACGATCCAATGCCAGTTTATGCAATTTTTTCTTGTCAGATCGAATGTTTATTATTACAACTTGGTTCTCTTATTCCTAGACTACAACAAATAACTAAAGAATGCACTTAACATGCAAAAATATATGAAATACTTAAAGTAAGAATTATTATATTTAGGGGTTGAAACAACCCTCTGCAAAGCTCCCATTTCATTAATTTTATCAATAAAAATATTTAAAATTCACAGTCTACTTATTACTCTGTAAATATATCAATGAACTTTCACTAAAAAATAAATATTGATATAAAATAATTTCTTTTTTTACGAAAGTAATATTAAATAAGCTTGAAATACTTCTGGATCGTCGATGGTTAACGAAAGTTGAAGTGGTTATTTCATCCCCCGGTGGCGCTTATAAAGATTCGTGGATCCGATCGTCGCGAAGGAAGCGTGCTCGCGCGTCGCGAGAGGAATTAACGCGTTACGCAAATAACAACTTCGTCGAGATGGGCACTTGAACGCAATCAATATTCCGGCGCAACTTCCATGTAACCGTTCCGTGGAAAATCGAGCGTAACGTTGCACGCTTAACTTTACGATCCACTTTATTAGGAAGATATTATTTCCTAAGGAATATCGAAGAGCAACGTGTAACGGCACCGTAAATCCGGATCGATAACCGTTATCGAGCATGATCGGCAATTAGCGTAATTCTAACGAAGTAATTAGACGGCCGAGTGTGTAATAAATCTTCAACGACAAGGCTGGCAGCGTCGAGGAGATGAATCTTCGAACGATACGATCCTTCGTCCGAGAACGGGTCATTGTAAACTTTGTTGACCCTTAATAACCCCGTGCGTATATATATTTAAATTCTTCTTTCGAGTTATATCTTGCTCAAAAGTAAAATATAATTTAGGTTATATGTATTAGCAAGGAAAACTTTTTAAATCTTTCTTTGAGATTTATTTTTTATTTCGTGCAGTTTTGGTTTGTAAGATGCTTATACGTGATGGGGTAAAATTTGAAACCTACGTTTCGACCATATTTTAATTCCATTCGGTGGAGAATTTACGAGCGTACGGCTCGTTTGGTGCGTTTTGCAGAGAATTCGGTGTGTTTTCGTCGCGTTTAATTTCCCACAAAGGGGCCTTATATCTTTCCCCATTCTTTCTGTTAATATTCCGCTCGCAGCAAAATGAATCATCTAACCCGCGACGTTCCTACCTTCTCTTCGTTTCCCTTGCATTTTCTGCATCTCGCGGATGCCCACGTGTCTCCCAGCGCCTACTCTGCGTTCTTTCGGACGAGCCATTCACGAGATTTTCTGCGCGAGATGCTAATACTCGTTTCGAAAGGCGCTTACGTAAAATCCTTATACCTTAATGCTTTCGCGACCTGTAACCTCCTGGGTGCTCAAGTTTTTTGTCCTCGAATACGAAAGAATATTTTTCCCCCACCTCGAGCGATCCAGGACCAACAAATGCAATGAAGTTTAAACAAAATTACAGCATTTTAACTCGTTTTTAGGGTGAAAGAAAATTTTTAAAAGAGGTTAAAGTTTTTCAAAAATGTAACTTTTTATTGACCCTTTTATACATTTATTTATCAATGTTTTCTAAGGATTTTGTGTCGAAGTTTTTCTACTGAGTTTTTTTGATTCGTTAAAATCTGAAATCCACCCTCGATCGGAGTTAGGAAGAATGTAATCTGATTACATTTGTCACAGTTATTACTCGTTCCAGAGATTTACGTTTCTCGCTACACCGCACTTAGACAGCAATTACTGTTTGATTGCAGTCTAATTGCAGCGTGATTACGTGTCATTGTAACGTGGCGAATGTAATTGGATTACATTTTGCCCAACTATGCCCTCGATAAACATGAAAATCCGTCGTCGTGCTATCAGAGCAGCTTTCCACTCGACGAGACGCGTTAAAGCCTCTCGCAACGAATATCTATGGCGTCTCCCCTTCAATTTTGACGAAGCTTTGCAGGTTTATAGAGCGGCCAAAAATAAGGGAAACATATTGATTTTAGCTCCGGTAACTCAAGTTTATGAAACGAAACTACCCTCCGAAGCTTCATTCCCTAATTCTGTCTTCGGAACTGTCAAAGGTGCAAAGAATTTTCTTGGATAAATTCTTTATGCTGTTCGATACAAACATATTTACTTTATTCTTAACATCTTTGAAAATACAAATTTACAAATAGCCACAAGTACATATTGATAATTGAAAACAGAAAGTGATTTTTAACCACATTTAGCAACAAATTTTATTTATCTTAAATACACACTTATCCTCGTGATCATAATAATTATAATTTCAGCGTTATCATTTAAACTATTACCGAAAAATAATATTACCGTGTTCCGTTCTAGATATGCTAGTTGGAAGTCCATTAGTATGGCTTGCCTAGCAGACGTTGCCTCAGACGTGACGCTATCAACCGTTTGAACAATCTGTTCAAACTAATTACACATATATACTAATGAACTATCCACTAATTGGCCACTGATAAAACGATTAATGGTATCACGTTCGAAGCGAGATCTGCTAAACAACCCTTACCGATGAGTCCAACTAACTGATCTATGAAACAAAATATCGATGCTCTTTGTCACAAAAAAATGTTTTTCTAAACGAGTACTTTTATCATAATAGCTTTCTATCTCCAGAGAACAATTTGAAACCCTTTTAACAAAAAGATGACTCGTAGATATATATTTTTAGACGAGAAAGTATCTTTAAAAATGTCCATGGCGAAAGATTTAACAAACTTTCTAAACACAGTAAGTTTCATCAACAAAAGAATCTCCATTTCGTACAATTTAAAAAAACTTTAAGCTGTAAATGCTCCTTTAAAAAAATCATGCATGTCATTTTGCTACGTATTTGTATTTATACGCAATTGCGTAACCAATACTAGTGTACTGTACGTTCTCGGTGCACGTTGCGTACCGCTACCTGCACGCGTAGTGCATCCACTGTTGCATTTCGTCAACAAGGAGCATCGGCCGGCTCGATAGGCCGCCGCGCGAGTTATTAACGACAATCGATCTAATTTTAATCTCGTCTCTCGCCCACGCTGCCGCGTTCTCCGGGGGAAAGCGAGGCGTCTGGTCGCGCGACCTCGCAGGGGACACTGCTCCTGCCGCGCCTCTATTGGCTGTTGGCCCGTGGCTTCAACGGAAAGCATCCTCGTCCACCTCCATACACGACTGTCGTTGCTTTCCCCCACCCCTGCCACACCAGACGAAGGGGTGGGAGGCGGTGGACGCGCCATCACGTGGCGAGGGGGCGACACTTTGATCGGAGAGAAACCGAACGTGTTTCGCGGCATTGGAAGAACAGAGATATTGGACACCCGATAGCGAGAAGGAACGAAGAGAGGGGATTAGGAAAACTCTCGAGTCGGAGGAAGATGGACTTCGGTGGGAAAGAGATAATCCCTGGACGTTGCTAGAGGGACGAGAACGGAGCAGTGACTTGCTAGGGAAACGGGGAATGAAACTAGCGACGGGCTTAAGACGCTTTGAATCACTTCCAACGACTGACGGGGAGTCTTGAATAGTTTCGAGCGTTATTCGAGATTTGGAGTTACTAAAAGAGTCGGGGGATGACAAACTGACTCGATAAATAGAATTAACCCCTAATTGGTATCGCGTATTCACAAAACGTAACGTTATCGTAGAGTACATCGATGCTCCAAATTGTACTATTGTGAAATGATAAGCAACAACTATTTTTAATTATTGTACTTACTATATGCAAGTTGGTCATCCCCTGAATTTGTCTCCTTTTTGCACGACACACTTTTTTTAGTTGATAAAACGGTCTCCATTCAGTTGCTTTTAAAGTATAGGAGCATTTAATACGCGTACCATTTTGGTTCGATATGCCTTCTTCAAACATATCGTACCAACTTGATATGCCATCAGCATTTGATACGAATCAAGTATTTACTTGGTACGTGTATCAAAGGCTCGATGTAAACTAGCTCATTAGCGATACGACTGTGCTCCGGAAACTCTGGTTACAAATTTCGGAAACGCACATAATCCGACTATAGTGCGTTTGGAACATAGAGTGAAAAGCTTACAGAAATGAAATTAGGTTTTAACCTCATTTGGAATTTTATGAATGGTAACGTAAACGGAAGCTAGTTTATGAATGGATCTAGGATTTTCAAAACAAAAATAATATTATTAAAACGACCCTTTAATCCACGTTTGGTGGACGAATTGATAAGTTTAATAAATGACGCCATTAAGCGGCGTTCCTCTATGGATAGTTTATCACGATTTGCAACAATTTGTATTCAACGACCAGGTTGATAAATTCCATCAATATGTTAGCAAACTAAATAATTCAAACTGTTAAAATGTTTTATCAGCAGATATCCAATGATAAATGTTATACCTAATTGAAAGTTAAGTTGAAAGAAAGTTCATAAAATATACACTTTTAAAATACTTCTTCGTGAAACATACCAACTCTTAACTCTGAAGAGCATTTATTCGAATACAAATTCTAATTTCAACAAGTTTTTACTCGAAACGAATCCACTGATCGTTGTTCAATATTTACTCATTATCTCGGAAAATTCGAATATTTCTTGCAACGAGACGCCCGACTCCGGACAACCAGGTTGTACGGAAGCTCGCGAGCCATCGGTTCCAGCGCCCATCGCTGCAGGTAACACGGTGAAACGATGAGAGGGAGAAAGATGGCGGCTCAAAGGGAGATAAGTGGTATCAGTGGGACGTTGGACAGACAGAGACGGCTAGGGAAAGAGAGGGGAGCGTTCGCGACTCCTAGTTGAAGCGGAATAGAAAACGTGGGGCGGGAGGGGAGAAAGAGGGAGCGGGCGCGCAGCAGGAAAGCTGGCCGCCGGGCGCCATACTGCCTTCGCGTTCGTTCGGCACAGTACGCGCCCAGCGCCTACGCGGTTCGTCGCGGTGCTCCGTCGTGCTCGTTCGTCGTCGTCGCTGGTGGTGCATACAGTTTTTTTTTTCTTCTCGTCGAGTCGAATTTTTCGAGTAACTCGTGCGTGTCCATCGACGGGCAAGGGTGGCCGAGCAGGAGAGAGAAAGAGAGAAAGACTGGAACGAGTAGACGTCGTTTCAGTTCGCCCGCAACCGCCGCCGCAGCCGCTGGTGTCGCCGTTCTTTTCTCGAACCGGCTCGCGACAAATCGTCTTTTGCTCTTTGCGTCGGTGCGTACAGTGGTGGAAGAAGAACCGTCTGGCCACGGGATTTTACACGTTCGCGAATACTGGCTGCCGCGACTCTCTGTCTGGCTTCCGGAGCTGGCTCTCCACGTTCCGCTAGGTGAGTGAGAAACACGAAACGAAAGAAACGCTCTAGGTTAGGCCACCGGGTTTTCCTTACTGATTTTCCCGTCCACGTCCGCCGCGATCGTCGTGATCGAGCTACGAACCCGATTGTACGGTCGTCCGTCGCGCCGATACCGGTTACGGTTACGCGCTCTTACTTTCGATCGAGGCCGACTCGGCCTCCAAACCCGTCCGCACTTTCGGAACAGCTGCTCTCGCGGACGAGTTTCGACGGGTCGAAGGAAGGTTAACGATTCGACTGGGTGCATATCGTTCGCTTGGTGCAAACGCTCTGTCGCGTTCTCGACTTAACTCGTTCGAACCTGCCCGTAGAGCTTCAACTTTTTCTTGGAACGTGCACGGACACGCCGTAGCATTCGAAACTGGCGATTTAAAAAATTCAAATTGTTTTGTTACGGTAGCAACGTGCAAGTGGTCGCATGTGACGCTCGATAGGTATCTATCGATGTGAAGAATCTTAGTAAGCATTTTATTTTGGAAATGTCGAGTATAGTAATACAGTATTTACTAAATAATTGAGGCTCGTTGTCCATATGTACACACGAAAGTATTCAAATGCTATCTATCGTATAAAATTCAGGTTTTTATGTTACAATTAGTGTGTTTGGGTTCGTTGTAGCAGTATATCGATATGAAATTCCAAGAGTATTCATCGATTGAAACATTATTTGCAATGCTTTATTTCGAAACATTAAAAAAATGAAGTTACATTGCAATTTTCAGTATACTTTTATTACTGTAGTAATGTACAAGTATTACATGTGGTTAAAACTATTTATTTCTAAATTTATTTACATATAAATTTTGGAGTGTCTTACCAATGTATTACTCCAAAAGATTAGAAAAATGGAGTTACATTGAAATTTTCACTATACTTTTTCTACATTAATAATATTGAAGCGTTATATGTGCATAAATATATGTATTTATAAATTTATTTGCACATATAAATTTTGGAGTATCAATCATTTTAACAATGTACTACTTCAAAACATTGTAAAAATGGAGTTCCATTGAATTGTTCTCTACTTCTATTAGAATAATAATATACAGTAATAAAGTATCATATATATATAAATTTATCTATACATATAAATTTTGGAGCACCCATCGATTTAAAAAATATTTACAATGAATCAGTTGGAACCATTAATGGTGTCAACAAAATTATACAAACGACAAGATAATAACACTCTATTCATGAAATAATTGAGTTTCCGTAGTTTAAGCATATATCGAGGTTTACAAACGTTGTTGCATGTTGTGCATAAATTAATCAATATAACTTATGTTGAATCAGCGTGTCCCAAATTTGTTTAATCATATTAACACATATATCATCTTTAAAAATAGAAATTCGCAATATAAGAAGACCAGTAAAAACAATTTATTTATAAACGTGAGCGTCTTCCAATTCGGCTAGATACATTTGTTTTATTAATTTTACGTATCCAAGGTGTATGAAATTCAATTAAAATCATGAAAAGCGACTTAATTCTGATGAAGAAAAATGCTTCGTCTATAAATATCGAGCGCAGGAATTTTGTTTTTCTCTTTTCTTTACGGGCGCCTTCCAAAGAGATTGAGAACCATTGAAATAAATAGATTTTCTATGCTGTATTTACAATGGCGTGCGAAACTTTCTGGGCAGTTGCTTTACTTGCTTCGAAAAGGGAAAACAGAGTTGGACTTTTAATAACATAGAATTAGATGAATGATGAGGCAAAGAGGAGTTTAATGAACTACAAAGCAGAAGTAGAAAACATGAATATTCATTTCATTATTATTTTATATTATTCTGTCTATAGAGTGACTTATATTTAAAGCTTTGTATGTTAAAATATCTAGAAAAAAATATACAGTCTAATAGAGAGCCAGTAGTACCTATTTCGTGCCTCTTTAGATTTCCCCTAGAATATGTACGACGTGTTCCATTGGCCAGAGTAGGTTCTTGCGGTCAAGAGGAATCGGTGATACTGTCTGCTGCTACTACTCGAAGCTATGTACTATGTATAACGATTACCCCTGAGTTATGTTCTCGATGCGAAAGGTATTGGTCTCTTCGCCCATAAAATGTGTTTTCATGGCTATAGCACTATTAATCACCACTTTATACGATACAAAATCTTAACCAGTTGTGAAATAACGTGTTCTAAAATTCTAATACAAATATTTCATTACAATGCTTCGATCACCAAATTGTATTCTCTTCAAGTAAATCACACTTTGAAAAAAAATAATATAAAAATCGCAAACAAAATTTTTAGAAATTTATATTTACACTTGGAATAATAGAAATAATTTAAGAGAATATGATAGTCATAAAGTTTTCAGTAGATATTTAAAATGCCACAGTCAATATTGAATGTTGAGACAAATAAATATAGAACGAAGAAGCACAGTTTAATGCTAACGTTTCGACCGTAGGTTATGGTCCCTTTCAGTGTACACAATTATAAAAAAAAAAATAGACGTAAGTGGCACAGTTTCGTATTGTGTATTACTTGACCAATTGATGATTGTTTCAAATTGTTTTTTTGTTTGGTCAAAGGGTGTTTGCTCTGTTTGTAGTTCGTTGCACGCAATAAAGCAGTGTAACGATTGTATCGAGCCTGTTAACATCGGATTGATTCATAGCTATCGATGGGCCAATAGCAATCATTGGACGAATTGCAGTTTGTCATCTCGATCATATTTCACGCCCTATGTAAACGTGCGCTTTATCATGATTTATGTTTCTTAATACGTTCTACGCGACTGCGTAGCGGACTCATTACAATCTATCGCAAGGCGGAACTGTTCGCGAAGATATTAATTCCATTAATTCAGAAATACTTCTCCAAACGAGTATTATTTACCTCAAAACAAAGCAGAGTTCGTCCAACAAGAAATTATATATTTTTAAGGGGTTTATCTTCAAAAAAGACAATCAAATGGAATTCAATCTTTCGTTCAATTCAAAAAGAAATGTTTAAAACATTATTAGGCGTACTTGATTAATAGATCCCGAATTAATGGAAATAATACAAGGGTATGTGAATATATTGTTTCTCTTGTCTAATATTTATTTTCAAAAAATTAAAGAAATCAATTTTAATAGCCCCTTAGGATGTTAGTAAACACATTCGAGTGTGTTGAAAATTTTCCGACACTAAAATAGAATTTTTACAAAGATTTGGTCTTGAAACCAGAAACCTAAGGTTCGAGGTAACACAGTCCAAGATCTGGAACATGTCATTTACTTGACACAGTAAAAAAAAAATTGTAACAGTAGACAGAGGGTAGCACGTGTTCTTTCGACTCAAAATTCAGGAAATGGGCCCAGACCATCCACGTGTTTATTTACATTTACGAGGATACAATTTTTTCGTTTACTATTAAAACACTGTGTATTTTCATTCGATCAATATCGTAAAGAATGGATTTTATTTAAAATTTAACATTATTATTTCTCGAGCTTCAAATTTACTGCTTTTTCTCCAATGTTCATCGAGTTTGACGACCAGCTAAAAGCATAGAGGGATGAAACTACCCTTAAAAGTTTAGAAATTAATACAAATAATAGATAATCGATGAAACTTGATGTAAAACAATTTAATTTCGATCTATCCGTCATGGCTGTTCCACGAAATTGTTATTTTTATTTATCCAGAGGATAAACGATTGGTTGTTTTTTATACGTTGGAAACTCGTATGCGACTGGTTTAGAAAAGCCGCAGCTGGTCCTGAAGTTTAGTTTGCGGAGCCACCTTGTATGCGCGGCCCGTAAAGTGTTAATCGACTTCGAAAATGACCGTGCAGTGCTCGGGCAGACTCTGGGATCCATGAAAGCCCAGGCCAGTTCTATTCTTCGTCGGCGATGCAAACCCACCACGCCGGCAGCAGATGTTTCTTGCGTGACAGGAGACACGAGTCCTTTACCGAGAGTCCTCGCAACAACGGGGCTCCTCGTGCTCGAAACATAAATTCTGAGTTCTGGCTGCATTATGCATGCCGCGCGATGTACGGAAATATTACCATAAGTGGCGCTCCGATGTGCGCGAAGACGGATCGCTTTTCGCGGGGAATGAAACCTCTGCACGGAACTAACGATTTTTCGTCCATCCTCGATAAGACGTTTGTATCCGAGAAACGCGATCGCTGCCAAAAAGTAGACCGCTACATTAATCCGTTGCCCTTGAAAATTATATCGTCGTCGATAGCAGATTTTTGTCGGTAGAAAATTTACTACCTCTTGTTTACTGTGAAAGGGATACGTTATAAAATTGTACAAGACATGTACAGGCTTTGAGAAATTCACTCTAGTTTCATTAATGGTGTATAACTGATTGTTCAGAGCTCTTAAATTGTTTGGTGGAATGGGGGAAAAGAGTATTCATCGATACAAACAATATTTAGAATTTATTTTTATTTCTGTAGTAATATAAAAGTGTTATACAGGGTGTTCGGTTACCCCTGGGAAAAATATTAATGGGAGATTCTAGAGGCCCAAATAAGACGAAAATCAAGGATAGTAATTTGTTGATTGAGGCTTCGTTAAAAAGTTATAGAAACATTTCCGGTCACTCAGTATATTTTCAGTAAAGAATTTTTATCTCGAAATTACGTAGGATTTCGGAGGTGTGTCTATTTACCAAAAATGATTGTAATTGACCCCCTCAACCGAAAATAATTTTTCCAGAACGATTTGAAATTTTTTAATTTTGTCGATTTTGTCCACCTACTCGAATTTTTTTCTCGAAAATGCGTAGGATTTCGGGAGTATGTCTATTCACCAAATATGATTATAATTGACCCCCGGAATCAAAAATAATTTTTTTAGAAAGATGTAAAAGTTTTTTTTTCGCCGAAAAATTTCACACCTACCCGAATTTTTTTCTTGAAAATACGTAGGATTTCGAGGGTATTTATATTCACCAAAAATGGTTGTAATTGGGCCCTGCAACTGAAAATAATTTTCCCGGAATGATTTGA